ATATATTTAGCCATAAAGAAGAACAGAAGAATGTGACTTGCGGGAAAATGGAAGGAACTAGAGATCATCATGTTAAACAAAATAAGCCAGACTCAGAAAAAGAAGTATTGCATGTTTTCTTTACTACATGGACTCTTTAAAAAAAAAAGGTATAAAATTAGAAGTAAACATAGGAGTAAAGGATAGGAGTAAGAGAGAGTAGAGGGGTGTAAAAGAGGGTAATGGAAGATAGATGCATGTTATATGCATGTAGCAAAATGGTCCATCAAAACTGAATATTTAGCCAGGTTTGGTAGTGCATGCCTGTAATCCCAGCACTCAAGAGGCTGAGGTAGGAGGATCACCACAAATCCAGGCCACCCTGGGCTACATAATGAGTTCAAGGCCAGCCTGAACTACACAGTGAGACCTCATCTCAAAAAAACCCTGAATATTTAACATGCATTAATAAAAATATACCTCACAAAAGATGAATCCCAAAATATATATAAAATTATACAGTAAAAATAAAAGCTTTTGATAGCATTTAATTTAACATATAGTTACTATAAATGCAATAAAATAATAGTTCATTTAAAAGGCAGGAAGTGAAAGCAGAACATAGGTATTGAGTATAACAGTTACTTCCAGTAGGAAGCAGCAGGGTGTAGGACAGGAATTGCATTGCTAAATGTAGGTTATTCTCAAAGACTTAGTTTTTTGGAGGAAATAATTCATTGATTTGTTATTATAAATACAAAACTTAAAAGAAGACAATATATGGGCTATAATTAGATATTATTACGATGATTAATCCAAGTTTTGCATTCAAACTCCCAAAAAACAGTCACCATATAAAACAGGTAAAATTGTTCTAACTTAACTTTTAATTTTAATTAAGATATTATAGTTAAGAAAACCCACAAAATATAATAAATAAGATTATTAAATTATAGATAAGTACTTGACTAGAAAATAAAGGTCAGTGTTTAATAAAAAAAAAAAAAGGACAAAATTGTTTCAGACACAAAGCCAAAACTCCTCAGTAAGATACTGGCCAACAGATTGTAACAGATCATTAAAATATCTTATACGATGAGGAAGTTGGTTTCATTTCAGGGATGCAGAGACAACTGAACACATGTAAATCAATAAATGTAGTGTGGTGGATTGACAACCTGTGGTCAACTTGTAACACCCAGCTGAACTGAACCTATGTGGTGCTTGCTGGATGTAGAGGGCCAACCTGAGGACTGTTGCCAGCAGCATAAGAGGAAAAAGTGGAGAAGAGGAGAAGCTGTTGGGAAGTTGTAGGGAACTGCTGATTTTTCTGGAGAAGCTTGTCACGCTGGCCATCCTGATATAGGCTCCACTATTCTCTTCGTCAGAAGAGCCTGGGACCTCACTGTCACTGAGAATGGCTGTGGTACTTTTTGTGGGGAGCTCTGTTCTTTACTTTGAGTGTTGTTTACTAGCTCCAGTGCAGATCCCTCAGCCTGCTGGCCCAGATCCTTCATCCCACTGGCACAGATTTTCTAGCTTCCACCACTGACCTTTGGGCATTCACAGCTAAGATCCATGAAAAGGCCTGCATGAGACCTTGTCATGGGCTCCTGGCCTCCAGCTGGACACGTGGGGGCACTGTCATGGACTTTAGGTCTTCAGCAGGACTCATGCAGGACACTGTCATGGGATCCAAGTCCTCAGCTGAAGTCTTTGGTCTTTACTGTGCAGATAGATTTCCTGCGCTCTTTTTGTATATGATTGTTTGGGTGACTATTATAAAATAATCTTATAATTAAGTGCCCTGTATTGTACTGTTTCCATTTGCAAGCCCCTGGCTACAACATGTAGTCACACAAACAGAAGTAAGAAGAAAATGCACATGATCATTTCAACAGGCAAAAGAAACTTTTGACAAAATCCAACATCCATTCCTGAGGAAAACAGGTACAGAGGACCTTATTTCGATCTGATAAAAACCATTTATGACAAAGCCATTGACAACATGCTAAATGTGGAAAACTGAGAGCATTTCTTTAAAACCGGGAACAGACAAGGGTACACACTCTTTCCATCCCTGTTCAATAGGGTACTCAAAACCAGCTGGAGCAACAAGACAAGACAAAGAAAAGGGATATGAATAGGAAAGGAAGAAGCCAAACTATACTTATTTGCAGATGACATGATCTTTTATATAGGAGGCCCAAAAAAACTCCACCAAAAGACTCTTAGAACTAATAAATTTAGCAAAGTAGCAGGATACGAAACTAACAGACAAAATCAATAGTTTTCCTGTACTCCAGAAATGAACCCAAAAAGAAAGAAACCAGGAAAAACTCTCATTCACAATAGCTTCCCACCCCCCCCAAAAAAAAGTAAACACCCAGGACTTAACCTAACAAAGGGAAAGTGCTCTGTAACGAAAATGATTGTACACTAAAAAGAGCAACTGAAGAGGATATTAGAAAATGGAAAGATATCTCCTGTTCCTAGATAAGCAGAATCAACACTGCCAAAATGGTCAGATTTCAAAACTAACATGCAGATCGATGCAATCCTAATCAAAATGCCAACAGCGTTCTTTGTAGAACCATAAAAACAATCCCTAACATTCATATAGATCTACAGGAGACCCAGAATAGCAAAAGCAAGCCCAAACAAGAGGAAACCAGGAGGCACCACGGTCCCATAGTTCAAGTTCTATTAGAAGGCTAGTGTGATTAAAACAGCATCACGCGAACACAAAACCAACACTACTGATCAATAAGCAGAACTGAGGAAGCAGAAACACCAACAGGAACAGTCAACTCTTTGATCTTTGACAAAGTGACTAAAAACATACACTGAAAGAAAGGTCACCTCTTTAATAAATGCTCTTCAGAAAACTGGCTACCCACATGCAGAGGAATAAATCTAGATCCCTGTCTCTCATCATGTACAAAAATCAAATCAAAATGGATCAAAGACATAGATATTAAGGTAGGAAACTGAATCTGCTGGAAAATAAAATAAGTAAAACTCATGAAGACACATGCCTAGGCAAGGATGTTCTGAACAGAACCCCAATGGCAAAGAAATAATATCAAAACTCAGCGAATGCAATGATATCTAAAAAGCTGCTTGGTGCAGAAAACAGAGTGAAGAGAAAACCTACAGAATATGGAAAAATTTGCTACCTATTCCTCAAAGGACTGCTATTTAGAAAATATAAAGAACTCAGAAAAATTAGACCACCCAGAATAAAAGACCTAAGCAAAAATGGGGATATGGTGTAGATTTCCCAAGAGATTTACAGAATGTTTTTTAAAAATGGAAGAGTTTACCATAATTGCTCATTGGAATGCAACACAATAAGCACACATAGGCTATTTAACACTATAAATAATTTAGTTCCTCCAAAGTGATTCACTTGAAGACTTGTAATAACCCTAACAGATTGTCTATGGGACCAGACAAATATTTCACAGTACTTATAAAACTGGTGGGAAAAGTGGTTCTTCACAGGTCAGAAAAGATAAATGCAAACGTTTTTATATTATGTAAAAAATTAATACCAGAATGAATACCTGTATTAAAACTTATGTTATAACAAAAATTAATATTAATCATTAAGAACTAGTGAACTAAAATATAGAACAGGGAGAGACCCTTTAACCATACACAAAATACAAAAATAAAAAAAAATTATAAGAAATATAAACATATAAATTGCATGAGTTTTCATGTAGCAAAAGAAAAAATCTATAGGTATAGAAAAATAATTTCCCATAGGGATAAAGAAAATCTAAAGATTCAATACATACTTACAAAGTAAAAGCAAAAAGTCAAATGCCATAAGAAGGTACTACAGAAGAACAGATGCAAGTGATCAAGAGCACATTAGAAGATGCTCAAATCCACTAGTCATCAGAAAAAAGGAAATTAAAATGTTAATGACGTTAACTTAGGTCCATCACACCGGCAAAAATGAAGAACAGTAACATTTAATGGTGGTTGATACTTGAAAGAAAGATTAATGTTTCACGTGCAAACGCAAGTATCAACATGCCACCTTTCACATACATAGATACTATAATGGTTGATACATTATGTCAACTTGAGAGGTTTATAAGTTTAACTAAGCAACTCAGCAGGGGGGTGGGGTCCTCACTTTGTAAACATCCTCAGCCTGTGTAAGAGGAGGGCAAGGAGACCGCATGAGTGTTACACCCACCCTAGGGCAGATAGCCTGCATACAGTATAAGGGAGGAAAAGAAGCTTGTTCCCCCTTTTTGCTCTTGTTGCTTTTGCTATCTTCCACCGCCATGAACTGTTGCCCCTCAGCCATGCCACCCTGCCTTCAAGCCAAATGATTTTGGACTGAAACCTCCACAAACTGAGCTAAATAAACCTTCCTTTCCTTAATTTTAGGTATTGTCTATTTGGGCTCAGCAATGAGAGAAAAGTAACTAAGACAGCTGCTGTATACAGAGAGAAATACACAGGTACATATAAATATAAAAATCTTTGTGGATTATCACTAACAAGTCTAATATGAACATAATTAGAAATACAGAACAATAATTTGTCATTATAAAACTAACATTTAAAAGTAATGCAGAAAATTTATGAGGATACAATACTTGTAAGTAAAGTTATCAAACTTTTGGTTAAACTTAAAATCAAAATATAAAGTTCACTAGATAAAGCCATCTTTATTTAGTGGTTAAGAGTTTAGGCTCTGATATTATAAGCTGAATTCAAACCCTAGATGTATCTATTGCCCTGGAAACAACCATCCTGAGATGGCCTAGCCTCCTGAAATTTATATGTCTTCACCTGTAAACGTTTGACAAGCTGAGTAGTATATATGGTGGCACTTTTTCTTATTGCCTAACAATAAGAAAAACAACACAAGACTTGAACAAAGCACATAATAAAGTGTGAATCGCAGCCATAAAGAATCTACCCTGAATTAATCTACATCATTATCACAAATCTGTGTTTTCTTTCTAGGTATACTGAAACATTATTCTTACATGAATAAATATGCAGCATCATGAGGCCTTAGGGTAAGATAAGATTGTTTCCAGTCTAAAAACTTTTGCAGTAATTCATTTGCCCCACCAACTGTAGAAATCTTATTGTTATCCGACCACAACTCCAGTGATGACAGCACAACAGTCACTTTAAATTGTGTAAACACCTAAGAACATAAAAAGTAAATAGATGGGAAATCAACGTTTATGTCACTTTATAATAATCTAGAAATATTTCATTATGATTATGAATTTATACTCAATTTATATAGATGAATTAATTATTCAGAAACACCAGCTCAAGAAAATAAACATGATAATTTCAAAAGTAAAAACTCTGATGTGAAAAAGAAAATACTTACTGAATTTACAAGGCTGATCATTTCCATGACTTTGTTTGTTATGATCATGCTATCAGAGCCTAAGTAATCATACTGTAAAACAGAATTAATTTTACATTTAAATACAATTTGTTATGTAACATTTTGAGTACTACTGTGCCACAAAGAGGGAGAAACTTAAGTCATCTGACTCAAGTTTGAGCCTAATGACTCAAGTACTTCATCTATTGACTGATGTGAGGTTGAATGAACATAAGGTGGATCACTTGCATTCTTAATGGTCACATAAAAAGGTACGGTCACTCTGGAAAATAGTTTGACAGCTTGTACAAAAAAATTACAGGACTTACTACACGGCCCATCTTTTACACACCCGGGACATTTATCCCAAAGAAATGGAAACGGAATCGCACACAAACAAGTACATACAAACATTCCTAATATGTATTTTTGTCTATAATGGCCAAAAACGAACACTGTTTAAGTGATTAAATGGTTAAAAAAGCAGTACATTAATTCCATGGAATGTTACCAGGCAATAAAAAGGAAATGAACTGCTTATATATGGAATCACTTAGATAATACTTTAAGAGAACTATGCCTTTAAAAAATCTTAAAAGGAAACACTCCAGGGTAACAATGCAAATTTGCAAAATTATAAAAACGAACAGCTTAGTGTTAGCCCAGGGTTGAGAAGAGAGAGGGCACAGCTGAAGCTGTGAAAAGCACCTTGGCTATGGTGCTTTTGAATATCTAGATTATGCTATGGTACACAGCCAACTGACATGACACTGTCACATCAAACCACTCATATACATGCACACACACGCACACACACAAAGCAGTGTATATATGTGTTAAAATCTGAATAAATCTGAATGTCAATCCCCATATATCTATGTACTCTCTATAACATACTGCTCCAGAGGACCCAGAAATCATTCAAAGCTAAACTCATATCCAAAGCTAAATTCATTATTTTCCACTCAAAAATCTGCTTCACTTACATTTTTCAGCATTTCTAGTTAATGGTGGTATCAACGACTACATCCCACATTTAGTATACAACATGCTCCGTAAGACCAGAAGCTGGTTGTTCCTGCTGTTTGTACTCTATGCTACGAAAGGCTAGCAAGAAAAATGGAATCTTCCCATTGCCCTGTCACTAGGAATAATCACACATTTACATCTAATATTTAAAACTGATGAGAAAGGAGAATACATACCAAAGCTTTGTCTATCACAATATGCATTTCTAGATAAAGAGGAAATAGATCTGGAGCTTGTAAGTCCGCCTACAAAAAAAAAAAAAAATAGCAGTAGCATGTAAAATTTGAAATTTTTCTTAATTTATTTTGCACTTTTTCATTTTGTTATTAGTATATAAAGATTACACTCATCATGGGGAGCTGGTACATGCACTTAACACATCTTAATTCTTTTTCTTATCCTCTCTCCTTCCTTTCCCTTGCCCTTTCCTCTATGTCTCACTCCCCTGGCTTTTTGCAAAAGATCCATCTCTCTGTTCCTTACTGTCTTTTATTTTGCTCTATAATTCATTTATATTTTGGGTTTCTATGCCTGATTTATTTCACTCAATATTATGGTGCATCCATTTCCCTACAAATGACTCACGTTTCTCCCTCTTTGTGGCACAGCAGTGCTCCACTGTGTATAAATACAACATTTTCTTTATTCATTTATCTGTTGATAGGCATATAGGCCACTTCCAGGATTTAGATATTATGAGTTTTGCTGCTAGGAACGTAAGTATGCATGGATCACTGAAGAAGTACAAATTGCCGATAAATACATAGAAAAATGCTCAGCATCTCTGGCCTTTAGAGAAATGAAACCCTGAGACTCTATCTTACCAGAGAAAGAATGCCTATCATCAAAAAATCAAATAATGACAAATGCTGGCAAAGCTATGAGGAGAAGCAAATTCTTCTATGTTGTTCATGGAAATGGAAACTAGTACAACCATTATGGAAATCAGTATGAAGATCTTTCAGAAAAGAAAAAGTAGAAACTCATTTTGACCCTGATATTCCCCTAGTAAGTATCTTATCAAAGGAGTTAAAGACATCATACTGTAGTGATACATGTTTACCCTTGCTCATAGCAGCATGACTCATAAAAGCTAATCTTAGATGTGGCCTAGATGTCCATCAACAGATCAAAGAAAATGTGGTAAAAAACACACCCAATAAAGTACTATTCAGCCACAAAGAATGATAAATTTGTGTCATTTGTAGGAAAATGGATGAGGCCATAAGATTAAGTGAAATGTATCAGAAATACGAACACAAATATCACATTGTTTCTGTTATACGTGAGACCCACAGTATAAATAATTTAAAGAGCACAATGAAAGAAAGTAAATACAAAATAGGAAGATAGATCTTTTGCAAATGGGAATACTATCTAGAGATGAAGGAAGAGAGAATGGGGAAGTAAAAAGGGTTAAGATGTGTTACATGAACCAACTCCACATGATGAATGTAATCATTATGCACAGAAAATATGTACTAATAAAAAGAAAAAACTAACAATAAATGCCTGTATCTTCATAGGCACAAACGTATGTGCACAGGTTGACACACTGTTATCAGTAATGGCTGCCTGTTACTCACCAAGTTGCACAAAGACATGTAACCTCTGAAAGCCACGGGATTTGTTTGGACTATGTCTGTCTGTGCTCAGCAATGACCAAACAATGAAATCAAGAAAAATATATAATAATGTTCAAATTTTATGACTTTGTGGGGCCACCTTACTAGCCATCCAGGCACATATAATAATATGCTAGGACAGAAGATACAGGACAGAGAGGGACAGTATAAAATTTCATCATGTTATTCAGAGCAGCACTTAAAATCTACTTAAATCTTCTGAATTGTTTATTTCTGGAATTTCCCATTAATATATTTGGGCCAGAGATGACCATGGGCAACTAAATCTGTGGGTAACTGAAACTACGTAGGGTGAAGCTGACACTAGGAGACTAGTGTAATATTAAAGTCCTGAAGATTCCACAGTTGTTGGGTATACTCTTTACTTCTTTGAGGTATTGGTGGCTGAACCTAGGCCCTGTGCACTAAGCTATATCTCCAGTCCTTTTTAATTTTCATTTTTAATTTTGAGACAAGGCCTCACTGAGTCATTAAGTTTTCTAGCCCAAGACTGAACTTAATGATCCTCCTGCCTCAGCCTCTCAGAGGGTTATTATACTTTATGTGTGTGACATTATACATTATATGTGTGACATATATACAGTAGATACTATATATTATATAGTATATATGTCCTTACCACTTAATACAATGTCAACAAATTCAGAATATTAACATCCCTATCCTTACTGATTTTGTCCACTCTTCTTTTAGCAATTACACTAAGACAACTGTCACTTGAGGTTTAGGGTGAAATTTCCCAATGTGGTCATGGATCACTTTATTTCTCCTTACAGTTCCATCATTGTTTTCTTTCTTTCTTTTTTTTGGTGGGGGGGACTGGGAATCGAACTCAGGACCTTGTGCTTGCCAGGCAGGTACTTAGGCCGCTGAGCAATATCCCCGGCCCTCTAACATTGTTATATTTAAGGTTACTCATTATTTTGGCAAAATGAACCTTTCATCATGATTAACTAATCCTCTTTATCTTTGGTAGTTCTTTGTACTGCAACTAAAACCATCAGTCTCAATATGACTACATAAGCTTTTTGGTATAATGTCTGCACCTTTTTCCAACTTTAACTTTAATCATTGTTTCACATGTCTGTGTTTTCAAAAACAAATATTTACATTATTTTTATTCTGAATGAAAGTCTGTCTTTTAAAGTACTAAAAGCAGTTACATATAGCCTCTACCATTTTTGAGTTTAACCTTCCATTTATTTTTGTATTTTTTTATCTGCCCTCCCCATTTGCTAGCTTTTTTCTTTCATTATTTTAGATTGGTTGCTATTATTATTCCAAGTTTTCTCCAGGAAATCTCAAATTAAGGCCCCTATTCTCTTATTTCCTTAGAGATAAAACATTTCCCACTAATTTAGAGAAATCTAATGTTATCATCCCACTCCTGAGAAAAGCCCCACACCTGACCTCTCTTCTGGATATTAAAAGAAATAAAAGTAACTCTACACATAGCCTTACCATTTACATGCAATTGTTACTAAGTATTTTAACTATTTTTAATTAAAAACATATTGTTCATTTTTCCACATATGTAGTTGTATTAGGCATGACTTCAAATGTCTTCAGCATGAGAAATGATCCAATGAACCTAGTTTCCAGTTATTGAAAACAGGAATCTTAAAGAGTATTGCTTTTTAATAGTAGTCATAAATATGTTACTTACAATTTTAAAACTAAAATTGTAAAGTAAATTTAAGCAAATAAAAATTTAAAATAAAGAATTAAAACATGAGCTATCATACAAACCACGGCACTCTGGCAAAGAGGCTGTCTGATCATCTTGTTATCACACAAACTCTAGGGCCTGATTCTGCTCTTCCTTCCTACTTTGAATGATTGCATAAAAGGCTAGATATCTAGTAGAGGACCAAGAATTAAAGTGCAGTAAGTTTAAATATTTATCAAAAAAAAAAAAAAACTTTACTGATCTCTGTCAATAAAAATATTTGTCCCCAGAACTAAAGAATGTAGAAAAAAACTAGAAATTGCATCAGGCTTCTTTTTCTCATTAAAGTTTCACTAAAATAGATTACTAGCTTAATATCTAATGCCAAGAATTCCTACATTAATCAATTCCAAGTGGGTTAATGAGGTTGCACTTTCTGAAATCTGCTATTTTTACATCTTTCTTACACATTCCCCCTTTTCTAAAATTTTATTTTATTTTATTTTTTTCCCCCGGTACCGGGAATCAAACTCACGACCTCGTGCTTGCCAGGTAGGCGCTGTGCTACAGAGCTAAATCCCCAGCCTCCACATTCACTTTTAAATTATAAAATAATTTAAAATAAATTCTTGTGCCACAATTTTCTTCCAGACTAGTTAGGTGACACAGTTTTTTAAGGACTGAACCCAGGGCCTTGACACTAAGCTACATCCCTGGCCCGTTTTTATTTTTCATTTTGAGACATGGTCTCACTGAGACACTAAACTGCTTTACACTTCTTTAGAAAAAGTAGGAAGTTGAGCAACAATTCCCCATATTTTTTCTTGATCTTTCTCTTCTGTTTACCACTTGATCTTTTGTTCTGTAATCTGGAAATATTCACCATTTTTATCATATTAAATAAACTGAAAAGACCTCTCAATTGTTAGATTAATCAAATATTAGGGTATTCATAAGGAAAGGATATTTCCTACAACAGCACTGTAGGTTAACACATTTAAAATACAGAGAAGCAACAACTATTTTGTACGTAATAATCAAACATACACAACTCACTTTTTCATCTATAAAAATGGTATAGTACTTTGGCTGTTTTTCTATGTTTCTGTTATTTTTCTTAAAAAGTCCAAGTTCGTTGATTCCATTCCCTAATTTATAAAGTATATGCTGAAAATCAACTGCAGATTTCAGAGGTTCAATTCCATAAGAAACATTTTCAAGCTGCAGCATTCCCCTGCAAAATCCAAAATAAAGTCTTAAGTGCTTTTAATGAAACTGTTATGAAACTGACAAAATACAAAAGAAAAAAAATACAGAGTGCTCTGAGTACAGTACTTTGTGCTGTTTTAGAGCTTACTCTGAAGAGACAAGTCACTTCCCTAATTCACAAAATCAAAAAAAAATTTTTTGTTTTTGTTTTTTTTCCGGTACCAGGAATCAAACTCACGACCTCCCACTTGCCAGGCAGGCACTGTGCCGCTGAGCTAAATCCCTAGCCCCCAAAATATTCACAGTTACAAAACCAACACCCAAGCCAGTTGTGGTAGTGCATGCCTTTTATCCCAGCACTCGGGAGGCTGAGGCAGGAGAATTGTTGCGAGTTCGAGACCAGCCTGAGCTACAAGTGAGCTCAAGGCCAGCCTGAACTGCAGAGTGAAACCCTGTCTCAAAAAAAAAAAAAAAAAAAAAAAAAAAAAAAAAAAAAAACCAACACCTAATCAATTACCTAATCAACTGCTAGGAGCACATCATTATAATGATCAAGTGATTTCCTTGGTTTTCAACTCAGTGTCTGATCAAAGCAATAACAAGTGGAAATTTTGATGAATTTTTCTCTGGTTAGCAATATTTTTTTGAAAAAAACTACACTAACTTTATAAAATACATAAAGTGTAATTTTATTAAAAATAAAATTTAGCAGTAGCTATGCAATAAAATTTATTGATCTGGTTTAGGTACACCATCTGAATAAGAAATCAACATCAAGATTCTAAAGTTGTAGCAAGCTGTGTAATTGCCCTTCCCTGAACATAAGGAACATTTATGTCACTACTACATAAAAAACAACTTTAAGGGCTAAATTTCAGTATTCTATGTAAGAAACAATGAAAAGTACTTGTTTATGAAAGCAAGAATCACTACAAAACAAGATAGGGAGCTGCCTAACAAAGAGAAGACCTCCCTAAGCAGGGAAGAGGAAACTCAGTAATTGTTGAGGAATTCAAAAGAGTGATGTTAGTTGGAAAAAATACAAAAGTGGTATTAATAATTATTTATTTACATATACATTTCCCCCTTATTTTGAAGATAACTTCTCTGAGAAAAATCAAGGCTGGTTTAACCTTTATTTTTATATCTCCTAACATCGGGATATACCATAGATATAATAAATACTCTGAAAAAACAAGCCATCCTAAACTTACCTTGCCATTGTACTGTAATTGTCATTTCAGTAGATAAGAAAAAATAAGAGGAGGAGGAAAGAGACTAAGGAATCCAAGCCCTTAGCACACTTAGAAATGTCTCTGGTCAGTGAGGAAAGTGATAAGAAATGGAAAACAGTGGGAATGAGTTCAGCAGAGAATCTGACTGAAAAATCTCCACTGGAAATAGGAAACCTACTCTAGTTGCACATTTAATATAAATAGAATAAATTCACTGCAACCAAAATCCTAGCTATACTATTTTGTAATCAGCAATAGAAAATAGATAACCTCAGTCCCGAGCATGTGGTCAGTGTAGCAACAGAATTTGGATGGCCTTCAATATATCCTTGATAGTAGCATTGAGGCTAAGAAAGAAGAAAAAGTAAACTGGTTACTTCAGAACTGGAAAATTCTCTAGTGATTTCCTACCTCCATACCTGACAGAACCTGCTCAATATTGTTCCCAGGTGACACGATTTGTAACAGTATGAATAAAGTGACATGCAGAAAGTCTCCATTAGTTACATCTGTATTCTGTTAAATACTCTAGTTAGATTATGATTTGAGAGGACTATTTTATACTCTCATTCCAAAATGTCATTTCATTATTAAGTATATATTACTATCCAATACATAAATTTAGTTCATCAAATAAAAGATAAAGATTGTATATCTGGATTTCCTTAAAATCATAACACACTGTTGTAAAGACACAAAACATGACAGCATGAGAAGACTGAAAGGCGAGATATACTACATGATCACAACCCCAAAGGATGACTGACTGGGAAGCTGCACTAAAAAAAACAGTCATGCTAGAGGGACATTTCATAATGACAAGAGCTTCAAATCACCATAAAGATACAAATATTCCAAATTTGTATTCATTAAATGGCAAATGACATAGCTTCACAAATATATATATCGCCAAAAGTGAAGGCAGAGTAAAAACAGGAAATTCAGATTCACATTAAAAATTTGTAAACGTTATTTTTCTCAATAACCGATAAACAGTACGTGCAATTTTAAAAGGTTTTGAACAACTAAATAATATATCTGAGAACAATAGAAGCTACCAAAAACACATGCCGAAGACTAAAATTAGACCCATGTCTTTCATCATGCACTAAATTAAAGTCAACATGCACCAAAGATCTAAATATTAAAACAGAAACATTAAATTTATTGGAAGAGATAGTAGGTAGAAATCTTGAAGATATAGGGGTAGGCAGAGGGTTCATGAACAAAAACCAAACTGCACAGGAAATACTTCAAAGAATCAACAAATGGGACTTCATCTTACTAAAAAGTTTTTGCAAATTGAAAGAAATCACCAACAGGGTAAAAAGAAAACTCACAAATTGGGAAAAAATTTTAGCCAGCTGTCCAGCAGACAAAGAACTTCTACCTAGAACATATAAAAATGTAAAAAAATCAGGCCTGCCAAATTCAAAGACCCAATCCAAAAATGGGCATCTGAGATGAATATATACTTCTCAGGTGAAGAAATACAAATGGCAAGTAAATACATGAAAAGATGTTCAACATCACTGGTCATTTAAGAAATGCAAATTAAAACAACACTGAGATTCCATCTTACCCCAGAAAGAATGGCTATCATTGAGAAAACAACCAATATCAAATGCTGGAGGGGCTGTGGGGATAAAGGCATCCTTCTCCACTGCAGGTGGGAGTGTAGACTGGTACAGTCACTGTGGAAATGAGTGTGGAGATTCCTCTCAAAACTAGCCGTGGTGGTCCCACTTAATTCAACTAATCCCCTTCTGGATATTTTTCCAGAAAAGCTGAAAACATCATACCACAGCAATATATGTGCACCCATGTTTATAGCAGCACAATTTGTCATAGCTAAATCTTGCAAACAATCCAAATGTCCATCAACAGAGGAATGGATAAAAAAGATGTGGTCTTTTTATACAATGGAGTACTACTCAGCCATAAAAAAGGATAAACTGGAGACTTTTATAGGTAAATGGGTACAACTCGAGACCACACTCATAAGTGAAATAAATTAGACCCACATGTATAAACATTGTATTATCTCCCTAATGTAAGAACTTGAAAGAATAAATAAAACCCAAAGGTACAATAAAGATTGTGAAAAGGAAAGAAAATGCTCAAAGGAAAGGAACTTGGATGAGGGAAAGAAAAGAAAGAAGGGGGAAAAAATGGATAGCTGGGATAATTGTACTGCTGATGTCTATTGGTTCGTTGAAAGGAAAAGTTAATGCTTAAATTTTTTTTCTTGACCAATTTTGCATGCTTATGTCTGGTAATCTGAAAAACTAATTTGAAGACAACACTATGCAATACAACAACCATTGTTGAATTTCTACCATATTGTTCAGTGAAGCTCTATATCATTTCTAATATTTTGAATTTTTTTATTCTCTTTAATTATTTGATCAATCTTGCATTCTTACATCTGGTAATTTGAGCAACTTCGTTGAAGATAACAATATGTAATATAACAACCATTGTTAATACCTATCATCTTGTTTTGAAATCCTGTATCATTTTTATTGTTTTTGTGTTGTTTTGTTTTTGTCTTTGTTGTTGTTTTGTTATTCGTTTTTTTCTCTTTAAAATAAAAAAAATGTAGGTATGAGTAGGCAAGAGGTAACAAAAGCATAGAATGGTCCACTTTCATGATTAAGATAGCTAAGTAGCAACGTAGTAATCACAAGGTTTCATGATGTGGGGAATCACTCAGATTGCTTCAAAGTCAGGGGCTTCTAAGGACACCTGAGGATGTGACCCCACTTGTCTAGTCCAAGTGCACAGTAGGATACAGTTATATAACCATGACTTAGCACAGATAAACACACATGTGCTGGTTATGGTACTATGTAAGAATGTAAATATGAGGTAACAACCTGTACAAGAATTGTATAGTAAAGACACAGGTGATTCTGACTCTTGCTCTTGCACTCTGCTCTGCTCCATGCTCCCTGCTGTTATTGCTGATGTCTTGCACACATGTGTTCTTTAACCCTAGAACCTTACCCTTGAAAATCTCCCTTGGGCCCCCCAAGCAGGCAACAAATGAAATCTGTAAGGAGGAATGTGTTTCTCAGGAAGTACCACAGTAAAGAACAGACAATACGAGGAAGAAAGCCAATCTCAAATGGGGAGGTGTACCAGAGAACTGTCTTTTAAAAAGGAAAACTTTGGCAGCATCTGGGAAGACTGTACCCACAGAATACACAGCCAGTGAGGAACTGGAGGAAGAGGCCTGTGTGCTAGGGGATAGATAAAAGGCCTGCTTGTAACTGCTATGGGTGTGCCTGGTCAGTGGACACCCAGCCTTGGAAGACTGATGAAAACCTCACTTTTGCCACTCTTCCTATCTCTGAGTTCATTCTGGGTCTGGGCCAGCCCACGCATTTCTCACATTTGTGCTTGTTTATCTTACTTTAATATATTCACTTATTGAACAAAATATAAATGAATAAGTAAATAATAGTGTCTGTGTTCTGGGCCATTTTGAAAGATGCTAAGTCAATACAGTGTCTTTAGTGTATGAAGACTTTAAGCATTTCTAACTGCTAACACCTTAAATACTGAGAAATCTTGTGACAGGAAAGCAATTGTTCCAATGGGTAAAAGCTTTGTATATTTTATAAAACAGAGAATTAAATCTTACCTGAATATCTGAAGAATAGGCACTTACAGATCCTTGATTATACATATAAACCATAAAATTCTCTCCTAAAAAATACCTACATATAAAGAAGAATGAGACTTTTATAGTTATTCTTTTCTAAACATGCAAAGCAGTATCCCTAAGCTAATGACCAAGTCTAAATCTGATCTACTCTCTGTTTCCATAAATAAGATGTCATTGGAAAACAGATACACCCATTCACTCTAATACTGTCAGTGGTTCTATTCATTTTACAACAGCAGGAGAAAATAGTCTGACAGAGATCATAAGGCCCTCAAAGACTAAAGTATTTCCTCTAGATCTTTAGAAAAAAGTATGTCAACCTTTGGTTGTATTTTCTTCTGACACATATTTAATTCAAAGTAATATACATTACTCAAAATAATTTTCTCAAGTTAACAAATTAAAACAATAAGAGACTGCAAGAAGAGGAAAACTACATTTTAAAATTTACACAGATATGAACTGGATGTAGGATTATGAGGTTTTCTGCTCTTTCTAAATTTTTCTACTCTGAATATAATTACTTCCACAAGGAAGTAGAAGTGGGTTGTGTAAAATTTTTATTTTTAGCACAGATGCAAAAACTTGAAGTCTGAGTTAAGCCTTTTCTGGTTATCATTTCCTGTATTAATTATGGGATTTTAATCATACTTCCTAATATGTTCACTGCAACCTAATGTACCTTAAGAAGACTATGCAGACTAGCTTCTTTTGGAAGCCTCCACTAAACCTGGACTCACAAAGTTTACTAATGATACCCTAGTTGTCAAGTCCAAAAGGCATTCTGAAGGCAAACAAAACTACTCAAGAGTATTTCACGCTTGACTGTATCATATCTTCTTTGGTTTTAACCACTTAACAGCTTACCCTGAGCATCAATTGGGCAGCATGTTTGTGTAGGTATATATACATAGCTTTATTTACTAGAGCTTTGTAGTATATTCTGAAGTTAGTAGTATGAAGCCTCCAGCATTCCTCATTTCACTCAAGACTGGTTTGGTTATTTGGAACCTTTTGCAGATCCATTTAAATTTTAGTATTTTTTTCTTTATTTCTGTGAAAATCGTCATTAAAATTTTGCTATTGTAAATAGGGTTACTCCAATTTTCTTTTAGATATTTCTTTGTCACTGTTATAGATATGGTACTAATTTTTTTTACTTTGTTTATTACAAATTATTCATTTATCTGTTCTAATAGTTGTTTTTGTGAACTCCTCAGGGTTCTCTATATATTAAGGTTATATAGTTTACAAGCCAGGATAATTTTAATTCTTCCTTTCCAATCTGAATGCCTCTCTCTCTTTTGCCTAACTGCTCTGTCTAGGACATCCAGTATTGAAGAGACATTATGAGAGTGGGTGTCTTATCTTGTCCCTAATCTTAGGGGATCTTGAGGCAAAGTGTTTAACTTTTCACCACTCATTATGTTGTTAGCTGTGGCCTTATAATATATGCACTGAAATACACTCCTTCGATACTCAATCTGTTGAGAGTTTTTAATCATAAAGGATGTTGAAACCCACAGCTCCCTCTCATGCTCTAAACCAAATTAATTTTCAACTAACCATTTGCCCTGGGATGTCCCACAAGCAATTCGCATACAGCTTCTCCAACAACGAGCCCTCATTCCCCTGAGTCTATGCACCTTCTCCTTATGCTCTGACTACAGAGGTCTACTTGTCCTGGCAACTAAATATCATAGAGATCAATCTCCAGTTGTGTCCCCTTTTTTTTTCAGTTCCAAATCCCCATTCACAAAAGACTATCTAAGACATTAGGACCAAAAATTTAAGTCACAAGAGCGCATCAGTTCATCCAAAGCATGAAATTTTTAGTAGGAATTATATTTACTTTTCCATATTCCATTTTTATTACAAGGAAACAGTTTAATAGATATAAAATGAAATCCAAACTAAAGAATAAAAATTTACCTTTGTTTTAGGTGCACAGTATATGGCTTCTCATCTATTGGAATAATATAGGATTTCTGGCCCTAGAGAATCAAAAACAACTAAGAGTAAAGGCAAGCTTAACATAAGAAACAAAAAAACAATTCTATATTAATTAATACCTCCAAATAACACTTAAATGTGTTCATTAAAATGTCTCAGACTACATGTAGTTTAAAATCTGCAACAAAATGTCAAAAACTTTTAACATTTATTATGTAACACATGCTTATAACTTCTACAAAAAATATACTACCCTGAGGATTTATATAGGATTAGAGATAAATATGTAACTGGACTGTAAACTCTTGTGAAAGAAGAGATGTACTACAATGGTTTAATGTCTACTCACATGTCGTAGTTGGGATAATAAAGTGCTCTACAACAGTGAGGCCTCCTCTACCAAGCCCAAAAATTATTTAATCATTTTCTTAAAATTCATCCTCACTGGTATTGCCTATTTCCCATCTTTTTAAATGGAAGATTCTAAGGGCTGGGGATATAGCTCAGTGGCACAGTGCCTGCCTGGCAAAGGCGAGGTCATGAGTTTGATTCCTGATTCTGAAAAATAAAAATAAAAATAAACGGAAGACTCTTTCTTTTTTCTTTTTGAGACAGGGTTTCACTATGTAGTTCAGTCTGACCTTGAACTCACTTTGTAGGCCAGACTGGCCTTGAACTCACAGTGATCCTCCTGCCTCAGCCTCCCAAGTGCTGGGATTACAGGCCTGTGCCACCACGCCCAGTAAATGAAAAGTTCTTGAATAAATCTGATATTGCCTTTGATTCCACCATTACTAATTTCAAGTTGGAACTCTGTTAGTAACAGGGTAGAGGTCAGTGAACCTGAGTGCCAAGATATTATTCAGCATAAAAGAACACATGAAAAGCAGGAGTTAGAGCATCTGTGGAAAGAAAAATTAAAACACATAAGATTTTTTTAAGACATAAATACCTAGATATTGATAAAGGTAAATGCTCTACAACAGTGAAGGCTCCTCTACCAAGTACAAAATTTATTTAATCATTTTCTTAAAACTTGTCAATACTGCCAATTTCCTATCTTTTTAAATGAAGATTCTTATTCTTTTCAAGACAGGGTTTTACTATGCAGTTCTATGAAAATAAGAAGCAACCAAGATACTATTCTAACAAAATGATAAGACAGATCGCTCAGAAGTCAGCAGTGAAAAATCAAGCCAGCAAGTGTGTTTCATTAGTGATAAGTTGATATTAGGTGCACTGTAACAAGAAGAGCATTTTACCTCTATGATAATCTTCCCTAAATCTCATTAGCTCAGTCTGATCATGACAAAATACTAGGCAATGCCAAATTGAAGAGCCTTGTAAAAAAATACCTGATCTATTTCCTCACAACAGTTGAGATCATGAGAGACAAAGGAACAAAGAGATGAGGGAGACATACACAGTAAAATCCCAGACTGGATCTTGGAACAGAAAAAGAACATCAATGAAAAACTGGCTAAATCCAAATAAAGGAGTTTACTATATGGTACCAATATTAATTTCTCAATTTTAATGGACATAATAAATCAATAGAGTTATAAGTTTAAACATGATGGGAAACTGAGTGAACTGCATATGGGAATTTATCTAGAAATCTAAATTTATTCCAAATAGTTTAAAATTTCTAAAACCAGAGAAATAAATGAAGGGAAAAAAACAGGCAAGTGGTAGATGAAAGGTAAAAGGGAAGATCCTGGCCCTCAAGTAGAAGAGGAACCCAGCTTTTAAAGTCACAGTGCTGTAACAGTTCCTTGGACGGCTTGATCTGAATGCAATAAACAACTGCTGTAGCATCTTTATTTCTATTTAAACTGAACTTGATGTGTAAATATTTACCTTTCCTTGCTTCATTTTGGGCATTGGGTATTTTGTCTCAGCAACGAGAGAAAAGTAACCAAGACAGATTTTGGTACCAGAGGAGTGGGGTTGTTGCTATGACTATACTTGACCATGTGGTTCAAGAGCCTTTGGAAATGGCTTGTGGGAAGTGTTCGGAAAGGTTCAGAGATGTTGCCTAAAAGAGAAGCACTAGAACACCTTCGGCTGTTCTGTCTGGGAGATTCTGGTCATAGCTCCGAAGACCAGAAGGCTAATAGAAATGCTGCTGGTAAAGACCAGGTTCAGGAGGTTTCTGTTGGGAAGAAGGACTTCATTGGTTGTTAGACTCCAGACGATGTGTGTTATGGCTTGGCAGAAAATTTGTCTGCATTTTGCTTATGTCCAGAGACTTTGCCTAAGACTGAGATTAAGGGCGGCAGTGGACTGGATAATCTGGCAAAAGAAATTTCAAGGCAGTCAAACGCTGGGGAAGTGGCATGGCTATTATTGGGGGCTTGTAGCCAGATTTGTATTGCGAATCAAGAACAAAGAGCCCAGCAGGATGATTTAAAATGTTGTGAGTTTGGCCAGAAAGAAAGCTGCGGTAAAGCTGTGGACTGCAAAGGTGGAGCTGAGGAGATCTCCATTGCTGAGACAGAACAAGAAAATAAAAAAGATGGGCGCCAAGACAGTGAGTACTCTGGGAGCGGCAGGGCTCGAGGGTTCAAGTCTCTGCTGGACGCACACCACCATGATTCCCAGCTGAAACGCGTGGAGAGAGCCAGGTACTTCCCATCTAATCCCTGAGGGCAGAACGGGTGAACAAGGACCCCGCAGACATTACAGACTGAGTCGCTGTGGTGGCAGAGAGGAGATCCGGACTGAGTGGCCCAGGGACTTCTCCGGCTGGGGGCTGGGTGAGCAGGCTCTTTGAGCCAGGCGAGCAGACTCTCTGAGCCCAACGCACCCTGCGCCAAGAGAGCAAGTACTCCAGGAGCTGCAGGGCCAGTGGATTCGAGTCTGTGCTTTCCCTTTGCCCAGACCCTCCAGCAAGGCGAAGGCTGGGGAAGTCTGTGACTGCTACCCATCTGGGCTGAATCTGGTTCCTGTATGAGTCCTGAACTGAGTGGAGACATAGATTCAGGTGGTTCACAAACTGTAGACACTGCAGTTTGTGTCCGAATTATGGGTGTACCCTAAACTCCCTGGAGACTTAGGTGCACTGGAGCGGGATTGTCGCAGCAGTGCAACCTGAGTCAGGTCGTGCATGTGCACTGAACTGCAAGGGGACACTGGATCAGAAGGTTGGCCATCAACTGACACAAGTGCCCATGTCTGAGAATGGGGATAACTAGATAAAAATCAAAAACTGTGAGAAAACCAGAGGCTAAGTAGCGCTACTCAGAGGTCACCCAGAGGCAAACCAGAACAACAGGAAAAATAGGAACACTAGTGGTCTTGGCTATGCAGCTACTGAAGAGGGAAACTGAGCTTTCTGCAACTGATAGCAAACATATCAAAACGAAAGACTAAACCACAATCCCAGAACTCCACCCCAATCAGAACAAGTCCAGGAGACATCAACATAGGAGAACTTGGTAATCACATGCCTGAAATAGCTGAAATGATTGCAATGGAGGTAAAGAAACAACTGCATAAGGCCATAAAAGACATGAGATCAGAAATAATCTCTCAGGCAAAAAGTGAAATGACAAGAATAATGAATAAATGCTCAAAAAGTCTAAAGAAGAAATCTATAACAAAATAGAAGAACAAAGGCAAGAGTCAGAAGCGTTCAATGAAAAATATAGAAAGGACTTAGAACACATGAACCAGATTCTAAGAGACATCCAGGAAAACAAAGCTGCCACTGAAAGCTACCAAAACTGCTTGAATGAAGCAGAAGATAGAATCTCAGACCTTGAAGACAACATGGCAGCTAGCAACCATGAAAGAACGGATCTCGTAAAAAGAACAAGGATCCAGGAAAAGCCAATTCAACAGCTGCAAGATAAGGCAAAAAGGAATAATGTATGAATTATAGGAGTCAATGAAACAGCAGGAAGCAACATGACTGACATTAAAAGATTATTTGCACAAATCATAGAAGAAAATTTCCCAAGCATGGAAACAGAACCTGATATATAGGTAAATGAGGCATTTAGAATGCCAAACAACCACAACCAAAATAAAACTACACCCAGACATATAATAGTCAAGTTCCCAGATCTCCAGCAAAAGAACAAAATATTAAAAGCTGCTAGGGAATAGAAACAGATTACCTAATAAAGGGAAGCCCATCAGAATCACACCAGACTTCTCAGCACAAACCATCCAATAGAGAAGAGGTTGGAGTGAAATATTAAAGGCCCTGACACAGAACAGTTTCCAACCAAGACTGATGTGCCCTGCCAAACGGTCTCTCAAATTCAACGGAGAAATAAAATATTTTCACGACAAAGAACAATTGAAGAATTTCATGAGCACTAAGCCAGCATTACAAAGAATATCAAAAGATATTCTGGACAGAGAAAAATCTGACCGCAACTTCAAAAACAACAGGAGGAATGAAATGTCAAGAAGAGCAAAATAAACAGGTAGAAGAAGTAGGACACCAGCACAAGTAA